TTCTGTCATCTGCAGAAAAATGTCAGGACAGAGGTTGATCTTTGCCTTCCAGGACGGCTGGAACCTCGCACTAAATGAAGAGATGGCGCCACAAGGAGGTGTCATAGATTTTGACATGGATTTCAACTAGATCGATATGGACTACAACGGTCCGCTAATGGGCATAGTTAACAATGAATAAAAGAAGGGACTACCGTCACTGTTGAGGGTGACCACTCAGGATGACGCATCACATAACGGTAAAAACGTGATGACAGAACAAGATCCGATGGAGGGGCCCAGCCGGCTGCCCTCCATGATAGCTACTCCGGCGAGGGGCTTAATAGCTGCCCACAATGAAGAACTTCTAAATACTCCACTCCGCAGGACACAACACAGAAATGTGAGCCGAAAGAAACAAAGAGCCTTTCTGCAAGAGGAGCGCAAGCGCCAAAGAAATGCAAGCACCCCATTCCGGAGGGACATATCCACGATCCAGAGCTGAGAGAGACTTCGGCCAGCCTGCCCACTACAGATGAAGAATTGGGATTTCTGACAGGATCAGCTGTACCCCCAGTCCCAGATATCTTGTGTAGAGGTTGCCCAACATGCAATGTCGAGATACCAGTCAGGACATCAGTGATGGGTGCATTTGTAGAATGCCCGGACTGCAATGTTCTACATCTACAGCATTTCAGTACCCTAGAAGAATATGCTGCAAGCACCAACGAGTCTCAGACTCTAGGTTTTGTGGCAAATGAACCGTATGTCCCACTGGGGACGGACCAATGCGCACCACGGAGCCCAGGATCGTACATCCCGCTTGAGGCTTTATCTCGTATTCCGGATCAGCCAGCATCAGTTTAGATTCCTGCCGAGGCCCGGAGGAAAGAACGTCCTAGACAGCTGCCAGCTCCCAGCATGGTGGAATATTACAAAATAAGCAAGGTAAGCAAATCAGGACATCAGTGATGGGTGCATTTGTAGAATGCCCGGACTGCAATGTTCTACATCTACAGCATTTCAGTACCCTAGAAGAATATGCTGCAAGCACCAACGAGTCTCAGACTCTAGGTTTTGTGGCAAATGAACCGTATGTCCCACTGGGGATGGGGCACTGCGCACCTAG